CTTAAAGAGGCTTCTGAGATAGAAAACTGGACCCCCCCCCAAAAAAAATGCACATATAGGTAAAGGACATCATTTGGACAACTGTAAGTTGAATATGGACTGTGGACTGGAATACAATGTCGTATCAATGTTAAATTTCCTGATTTTGAGGTCATGCTGCAGTCACATAAGAGAATGTCCTTATTCTTTGGACACACACCGAAGCACGCGGGGCGTATCAAAGGGCTTCATGTCTTCCACTCACTCTCAAATGGCTGAGGAACAAAACGTGTGGATATATGTGTAGACAGATGAACTGACTGTCAGGAAAACAGAAAGAACCGAAGGAGCAGAATGTAAACAGCTGGTAAATTTGAAAAAATTGAGGAGCTCCTTGTAACTCCTGCAACTTTACTTTCCAAGGGAAGGAAGAAAGGAGGTGAAGATGAAAGAAGAAAGGCAGGAAGGGGGGTACACAGGTCAGTATCCACAGCCTCACTGAGAGGCCGAGGCCACGGCCGCAGGCGCCCTGCCTGCGCGCAGTCTCTCCTGGGGAGACGGCTCTCGCCGCTATGCGGGCTCAGACAGTGGCCTCCAAGGTTTCTGAGCGTGTCAAAGAAGCATCTTCCAAGGCAGGAGACCCCTCCCCACCTCCTCGCACTACAGACATCAGCAAAGCAAGATCAGGGGCAGGACCACTGCCTGTGGCCTTGAGGAGAAGGGGTACCAGGAAGGGAGCCGCTGATCCCCAGAGCCCAGTTCCCACAAGACCCCCTGCAAAGGCTCCTCCCCCCACCGGGGGTGGAGGTGGAGGTGGAGGAGGTGGAGGAGGTGGAGCGCAGAGATGACAGACGCAGATAAATGAAACAGGGCTCCCCCGCGGCCCAGGCAGGAAGTTCCACGTCCAGCCGTCCAGCCGGCTCCGGTGATGCGGATGCCAAACTCCTGACCCAGAAAGAACGCAGCCCACGCTCGGTCACACACACCATTTCCCAGTTCAGGCCACCGGCCAGCACAGCTGTCCCAGGGACACCAGAGCTCCAGTTGTGCCCAGAGCCCAGGGCTCTGCTGCCAGGGCCCAGAGAGAAAAAGATGTGCGTTCAAAAGAATCGGGGCAAAAGGAGAAAAAGAGCTGGGTGCTGTCCAGCGGTGGACGGCCGGCTCCCACACGTCTAGGGCTTGCTCAGAGCAAAGAGCGGTGAGGGGCCCCGCATCTTCAGGCCTGTGTGCCCGGCTCAGGGCCTGGCGCGCCCCGGGCACATGGAGCACGGCCCCAGTAGTGGCCAGAGCCCCGGGTGCAGTCCACAGCCCTAAACACCCCTGGTGCTGGGACTTGGGAGCCAGACCTCAGGGTGTAAATCCTCTTTCTGTCACTTACTCCTGACCCCTGCTCCCCACCCCCCAGCAACTTGTGTCACTCCTCAGCGCCTCCATCACCCCATCGGCCAAACAGCAGTACTAACCTGAACGGGCGGCCATGAGGGTGAAATGAAAACACAGACAGTGCCGAACACGTGGTGAGTACTACCAAGTGCCTGTGAGTCTGGCCTTTACTCAGCCCCAGGGCCTCTCCCTTCCTTCCTACGTGGTGTAAGAGACTTTGGCTAATGGTAATCAGTAGGCCGATAAGAAGATACAGAGAAAGAGATCATTTCCAAGCCGATCTTAAAAGGTCATCCCGAGCATCCTCGTGGGAGGGAAGATAGCAGCGACAACAGTGATGAAACACCCCTCCCCGCTCACTGCTGCCCCCGCCCCCCAAAAGGGGTCCGCAGGGCCCCTCAAGGAAGGGGTGGGAAAAGATGGCATACAGAGATGGCCCAAGTTTAAAAAACCCAAAGGCCTCAGGGTAATTTGGACAAAATGTTTGGGGTCAGGATTACTATGTAACCCGAGTGTCACAGAGACACACGCACACACTGTCATTCGCGTGCACACACACACATGCGCACAGACACAGGCAGGCAAGCGCCGAGGAGGGGGCCATGAGCTCTGCTTCCCGGAGGTGTGTGGATCTGAGACCTGAGGGACCTGCCCCCACACCCGGGGGGCACTCAGTCCTCAGAGAGTGAAGGGCTTCAAGGTCCCCCGGCAGTCAGAACACAGCCCCAGACTGAGGTCCTTCCGCAAGGCCCCTTCCCATTGCAGCAAGAAGGCCACAGAACACCCTTCAGGACCCCAATGGTGAAAGGACAGTGGTGAAGAGAGCCCCCCGGGACTAAAAGAACAAGAGTCTCACCCAGAGAGACCCTGGACCCAGGTCCACATGTGCCTCAGAGGCTCCAGTACCGCCCCCTGACACCGCGGCACCACACCCACCCCCTGCAGCGCAGACACAACTCCAAGGAGAAGGGGCCACATTTTAACACCTTGGCAAAAACGGGAGAGCAAATTACAGCTGTTACAGATTTTATTTTTCTCCACATCTAAATCAAAGAACTGAGCTTCCGTTCCAACATAATAGCTAACGTTTGTTAGGCGCTCAGGATGTGCCAGAAGCTGTTAAGCGTAGAACTTGGATTATTGCCTCATTTAAATCCTCTCGACCTATAAGGCAGGCACTCGGAGCCAATCACCATGCAGTCAATGTGGAAAAGAAGTGAAATGCGGCTCTGAGAAATAGCTTAGGAGAGGCGCTTATCCTAGCAAGTGGAGCCCGCTCTGGGGCCCGGCCCTTTCCGCAGGAGGGCCCATGGCGTGTCCCTCAACCCCGCAGTGCATGGCCCGTCGGAGTGCGGGTGGCCCCGGGGGCAGATCCTGCTCCCCGGGAGGCCCGAGTCAGCACGGCTACGACACAGAGCTCACTGCGCTCGGAGCGTGCGTGCTGAGCACAGGACCCTGTCCTACACAACTGGAAAAATACTCGGTTGTCCTCACATTCAAGAACCTTATCTACATGAATATTTGGAAGAAGGCACTGCGGCAGGAACATAATGTTTAGGAATCAACTGCCCACGGCCTCCGTGCCTCCGGAGGGAAAAGGTGACTCAGGAAAAAGGGAGACGATGTGGAAATACACACTGTCCTACTAAGCGAAGGACATTCTTCCTCCCACCTCCAGATGACCCACCTCTCCATAGCCTTTAAAGGCTTCCCTGAGCTTGGATTTCTGGTTGCCATTAGAGGAGTAGTAGGCTGGCAGCGGAAAGAACCTATTCCATGAAAGAATCTACATGTACTGGCTCCAGTACCTTTATTCTTTCACATTATTTGTTTCATCGTCACAAGGCTGAGGGAAGGCTTCCCCAGCCTATAGGCAGAGCAAGTCTCCAGGGTTCTGAAAGTTTAAGCGACTTTCTGGAGGCTGCACCCACAGACGGCCGCAAAGCCCGCACTCCAGGAGCCCCTGGGAGGTGCTGTTCCCGGCACCGGGACCACCTGCCCTCCGCCTCTGGAAGCAGCATCCTTGTTTCAGGGCGATGATCTCAGGCTGCACTGAAGCTGTGAACCCTCTGCTCCACACAGCTCTACCTCCAGTTTGCACGGTTTGTTCACCACCCGGCAGTCCCCACTGCTAACGACAATAACCGGAGGAAAAGCCAAGTGAAAGACTGGAGTGCGGCAGGATGGGGGACTGTATGCCGGAATCTGTTCCAACGTGCAGAGCCTGTGTCCCCTGAGGAATGAATCCTGACCAGTGGGTGAGGCAAACAGCTCCACCCGCTGCTCTGCAGATGTGGCAGATCTGAAGGAATGCCTTCGGAGGGAAACGAAAATGGTTAGCAGTCCACCAGATCCTTTTACCAATTTGTTGCCCATCCCTCCAGCAGATTCACAGGTGGCAAATGCAGTAAACCCCCCCATGGTAAATTGTGATTGACTTTGAACAAGTGCAGGGGAAGTTATTTTCGAAGCAGCCTTGCAGTTGGGAGAGGGCGATAGGGATTAGGGAGAAAGAAAAGCCACCGACGTTTACCACAAGGCTGACCATCTGCCATGAAACATGCTACCGCTCTATTCTTTGACTGGAAGAGACCTAAAACCTTGGCCTGGGATCCAATGCCTGGGGCCTCAGGCCCAAGAAACCC